GGGGGGGGGGAAGGTGACTGGAGCTGGGATCTGGGATGGGGCAGAGGGAAGGTGATGATGGGGGGGGAATTTGACTGGAGCTGGAATGGGGTGAGGGGGGAAGGTGACGATGGGTGATGGGAGGAAGGTGAGAGGAGCTGGGATGGGGGGTCAGGGGGAAGGTGAGTGGAGCTGGGATGGGGCTGGGGGGGGATGGTGACGATGGGGGGTGGAGCAGGGGGAAGGTGACTGGAGCCGAGATGGGGCGGGGATGGGGGGAAGGTGACGATGGGGGCGGGAAGTGACTGGAGCTGGCATGGGCTGGGGTGAGGGTTGATTTCAGAAGAGGCTGCACTGGGGTGGGGGGGTGATTGAGACCCCCACGCCGTGCAGTGCCAGGAAGGCTGCATATACAGCTCACAGTGAGCCCAAGTAGTGGTTGCCATGGGAACCACAACTTTCTGTATTGCCCGTCTTTGTGCGTAGTGTTAAATTACGTGCAAGTTTGTGTTAATGTATGTTGTGAAGAACAGGTTTGAAGGGGCTATCTGGGCCTGTTGCTGCTGCCCCTGCATTTTGTTATAATCCACATTTGGTTGATGTGGCCTTGCAGTCACGTTCTCGACTGTACATGCCAGATCCTGCCATGGCCTCTCCCTGGGCAGGCCAGTCAGACATCCTGTGCTGTGGCAGAGAGAAGGAACAGTGCTGACTGTCCCATCACCTGCAATAACTGTGGCTGCTGCTCTGAGTGCTTGGCATGGTTCCTAACATCCGCTCTTCTTTGCCAGTCACAGGTACCAAACCAAGGACATCCTGGCCTAGAAAGGCCCTGCTCATCCTCGGGTTCCTCTTTGCTTTGGCTGCGATTGCCTTAGTTGCGATGGCAGTGAGTCAGAACAAGCCACTCCCAAAGAATATTAAGGTATTGTGAAGGGGCCATTACAAGAGAAACAGCATAACTGGGTGGGGCATGGGTAGCTCCGAGACAACCCTGAATTTCCATGTGTTTCACCCACCACATCTTTTGGGTCTTGCTAATTCCCTCTGTTATCTCCCTGAACCTCAAGCATTTTCTCTTCCCAGTTTCCCTGTAAAAACAAGCCCATTTCTGGTGGTTTTCATAGGTGAATCTGTACTAACCCACCGGTCAGTTCCATTGTGACACTATAGCTTCCAAGTTCGTACTCCCTTTCACAGGTGCCAGCTTCTTCCGGGCCCCCAGGGTGCTCAACCTCCCGCCCCACCCCTTCCCACGCAGTTCCGCCCCCTCCCCCCCAGCACCTCCTGCATGCCCCAGAACAGCTGATCGGAGCAGTCAGGAGGCGCTGGGAGGGAGGGGGAGGAGTTGATTGATGGGGCTGCAGACAGACGGGAAGCTCCGGTGGGGAACTGGCTGCCGGTGGGTGCTGAGCACTGACTAATTTTTTTCCATGGTGCTCCAGCCCTGGAGCACCCATGGAGTCAGCACCTATGCTCCCTTTGGTGGAAACTTTACAGGCCAGGACTGCGAGGAAGGCCAGTGATCTGCCCCGTTCCTGGGGGCACCCAATACCAGCAGTGTCTCTACTGATGCTCAGTGCATGCAGCTCAGAGCCGGCTGTCATAGAGAGAGCCTGGAGCACTGGGCCTGGGGCAAGATCTGAGGCCTGAACCAGAGGCTGTGAACCAAAGTCAGGCCATGGATTAAAGCAGATGCTCACAAGTTCACTGCCCAGTACACGACCTTGGCAAAGTTGTTGCTAGTGTACAAGGCACTAGATATTTACATAAATATATTCCAGCTAGTGCAGATCCATCCCCATCTAGTACAAGATAAGATGGTTTGACAGAATAATGAATGAGGAGGTTTTGTCCAAGATATCAGGAACAAGGGGAGGTAACAAACAAATGTCATGAAACACATATGGTGGTGTATTCTTGTTTGTCGTAGCCTATAAGTGTCGGGGTATTTTGCCTTAATTCTTTGTTCGGCCAAGGGGACAGCAGAAATTCCTGCTGCTGACTGAACTGTTCCTTGCCATAGGGCACTCGTGTTAGTGTACTGGTAACCACCGAGACAGGGCTCTAGAACTGTGTCTTGGCAATAAACCTGGCCACGTGCCTATGTCACTGAACCGTGCCTGTGGTCTTTCTTTATGAGTAACATGAAAGTCTGCTGAATGAGTGGGCTGTACTCAAGGACTGCTAACCAGCTGTCTGTGCGGAACTGGACAGCACGCTGAAAAACACACACACAAGCTGACTGACCCTGGCACTAGGCATAAGCAGACTAAGCAATTGCTTAGGGCTCTGAGCAGCTCAAGGGGGGTCCCCTATTCGCTTTTTATTATAAGAACTTGCCTGTTTCAGTATTGTGTGTGTGTGGGGGGGGAATATTCCTGCTCAGGGCCCCCAATGGGCTAGCACCACCTCTGCTGTAGCTACACTTACTAGTGCTTCCAGTAAGTGAAGAGTGCTCTTGTCCCACTGTCTGGCCTCACTGACTACTATTCACAGTGTCCCGTGCATTGGTCCAGAGATAACTGGTTTGTTTTATCCACAGTACGGGATTGTGCTGGATGCTGGTTCGTCTCACACTAACTTGTACGTGTATGAGTGGCCAGCGGAGAAGGAGAATGACACTGGGGTGGTGCACCAGGTGGAAGTGTGTAAAGTAGAAGGTAAGCCACGAGGGAGGAGGAAGGGGGGAACAGGAGGGGCGATGAGGTGATGAACAGAGAGTGCAGGAGGGATGGTGAAAATAATGTAATGCTTGTCAACTGGTACAGCTTCCAACCTGCCCTAAATCACTCCTCACCTGCGTAGAGGCCAACCTGCCTCTCCTGTTTGGTTTTGTTAATACAGAAATCAACAGTAAAATGACACAAAGCTAAGCTCTTACCGTCTCCTCAGTGTGGGCTACTCTTAGATCCTGCCCTCAGGACTGCTCCATCCCCACTCTAGATCCTGTCTAGCAGAGATCCACTTCCATTTCCCTCATAGCCTGGTGGGGTAAAATGCCATCTGCTGCAGTGAGTGAGCAGAATTCAACTAACTTTTGCAGCAGAGTCAGCACCTACTAACGGGGAGGTGCAAACACCACCATCCTGTTAGACACCTACTAGCCAGAGCTTTCTATAACCTTGCAAAACAGATAAAATATCCTCAATCGAATCGCAGTGCCATAGAAAAAAATCTCTGCTGCAGAAGTGACCTCTGGGAATTCCAGAAGAAATCCCAGCAGGCTGCTGAGAAGTCACCCAGTTTTACTGACCGGAACTGCTGTGTCAAGTACTTCCAGGACTGGTCAATACACAGTGCATCTCTGATCACAGCTACCCTATTCTCCATACAGTTGAACAGTCTGATATGCTCTATAAGAGAAGCACCACATTATCTGTATATAAACATAACTCCAGTTCATCAGGGCAGCTAGTATGTCTGTAGTCTGTATTCCTTGATTAGTTCTTAAACATAAGAATGGCCAAACGAGCTATTAAATAACCACATAGATCCAGACACCCAGATCATATTCAGGTTGGCAATACTTTCTTAAAATCATCGTGTAAATGGGCCTTTGTGTGATCCAGGAAGCTCTTGGCAGGGCTGGCCCTAGACCAAATGCGCTCCAGGCGAGGAGCGTCTTTGCCCTCCCCCATTTGTTAAACTTTTGAATACCTTATTTTTTACAATTACACAATAAAACAAGGTTCACAGTGTCACAGTCGGGTTCTCACTTCACTTCAGTTCGTTCTTATATCTCACTGACTGGCGATGCCCCGCCCCTTAGCTATCTGCACGGGCATGGCTGGCATCATTCTAGGAGGTTCGAAGAAAATGTAGTTCTCAGAAAGTCTGGAAGGTTCCACGAGATTCTACAAAGGTCCAGAACATTCTAGGAGGTTAGTGAAAAATGAATCCACATACAGAATAGCTGAAACATTTTAGTTCAAACATTCTATTTTCCCTTTTGTCACTAACAATAAAAACAGCACTCCGACCCTGGCATCCCTTACACCTGACATCCCAAGCGCTCGCCTTGGTCACCTGCCCCTAAATCAAGCCCTGGTACTTGGTGCCAGCCGGCATAGGGTACCAGGGGTGCATAGGGTTTTACAGGAATCCCCTGGGTCAGATGCATATTAAGGTCACCAAAGGATGACATCTAAGGTCTCTATCAAGAGCCAGAGCCCCCTGGTCATCATAATCTCTTTGAAATGCATATGCGGATAATAAAGAGTTATGTATCTGTACTGGAAATTATGTTCTCATACCCTTGGAGTTAAGGCAGGTAACCATGAGATGACAGGCCTTAAACAGATTCCTTTGAAGCAGGAGATAGCAGACATTTATCTCCTGTCTGGTCATTGTGTCTCACAACATACGCGTATGGAGCCAGATGCTGATTAGAAGATTGCAAAGTTGACAAGAAAGGGCAGTCACAGGAAAAACAATCAGCAGAGGGTGACCTGTTTATGAAAAAGAACAAAGGATGGTTCTGATATAAGTAAAGATAGCAAGAGACACCCTGCATCCTTCTCCTCGGCAATATGCTGACAGGTTGCTTGTCTCATAAAAAGGGATCAGAGCCTGCCTGGCTGGAAAACACTGGTGAGCAATACTTCATTAGACATGAGAACACCAGTAGTAGGTGAGATCAGTTGAAGCAGCCAAGCTAGGAGTGCATTCAGGAGTAGGTATCAGGGTATGTGGAATGGTGGGCCCTTTATTCTTGAATTTTCTGTTCTGATAGTGCAAAGAAACTGAGCCTGCACAGGGAAAGTCCAGGCATTTCCCTGATGGGAGCAGAGGATGTTACGTCTGTTTATTTTTGTTGGTTTTTTTAAATTGCTATTTGGAGTTTATTGGTTTTAAGAAATTGTAAATGTCATTAATGGGGTGTATAAATACCAACATGGTAGCTGGTAAAAGATGATGTCTGTGCTGGATCAGACAAGAGGTGAGGTGTCGGTACAGTAACTCGTCACTTAACGTTGTAGTTATGTTCCTGAAAAATGCGACTTTAAGCGAAACGATGTTAAGGGAATCCAATTTCCCCATAAGAATTCATGTAAATAGGGGGGGGTTAGGTTCCAGGGAAATTTATTTTTGCCAGACAAAAGGCATTATATACATTTTAAACCTGCACCATCAGTTATACTGGAGCCACCTCCAGTCATGGGGGGCTCCAAGGTACCTGACCCAGCTGCCAGAGAGCCAGAAGGGCAGGAAGACCCTGTCCCACGAGCCACCTCCTCCTCGCCAGACGAGGCGGTGGTGGGCACCACCACCACCCTTCCGGCGATGGACACCAGGGGACACCAGGACCTTCTTAGAAGAGTGGCCCTAAACCTGAATCTCCTGGCAAGGTGGAAGCGTTTTTCCATCTGGTCTCTGCAGAGGGGCACCGAACCACAGCTAGCGCCAATTCCCCTTGTTTTGCACTACCTGTTATACCTCAGGCAGCAGGGATTGGCAATATCATCTCTCAGGGTACACCTGGCTGCCATTTCAGCCTTCCACCCGGGGGCAGCTGGTAGGTCAGTCTTCGGCAATCCCATGGTGGGCTAGTTTCTCAAGGACTTCGACAGACTTTATTCCCAGGTACGATGGCCCGTTCCCCAGTGGGACCTCAACCTGGTCCTGTCCATGCTCATGGGGCCCCCTTTCAATCCCATGGCGACCTGCCCTCTGTCCTACCTTTCCTGGAAGGTGGCCTTTCTGGTGGCCATAACCTTGGCCAGAAGGGTATCCGAGCTCAGAGTGCTGACTTCCAAGCCCCCCATACGGTCTTTTATAAAGACAAGGTGCAGCTACGCCCTCACTCTGCGTTTCTGCCAAAGGTAGTCTCGCAGTTTCATGTAAAAAGCAACAGAGGGTCCTGTGGCACCTTTAAGACTAACAGA